TGACTGGAAAAAAACCTGATCTGTCTAAGATGAGAGTTTTTGGGTCAGAGTGTTATCATATTTATATGCATAAGAAAAAGCTAGACACATGTAATCCGGTGGACTGGGATGGCATGTGTTTTGTTTGCATGTTTTTTTTGGTTTTCTGTGTGTTTTCTTTCATGCCTCCCAGTAGCCATGGTTACCCGGCACACCTGCCTGCACCTGAGTGCAAATCAAGACACCTGTGTCTGGGGTGACTGTATAAAGAGGCCATGCAGGAGATCAGAGAGGAGACGCGACACCGGGGAGCGGACGCGCAGCGAGGGGAGGCGAGCCCGGAAGGAGAGGCCAGCACGCACCGGGCCAGCACCATGGCACCCACGCTCTGGACCCCCGCACCATGACGAGAACTACACAGAGGCAGGGCATTTGGACCCTGCCCTGCCGGTGAGTTTTGCTCTTGTGTAGACGTGGTGTATGGAAGCCTTGGGCTGAAGGGGGGATCCTGGGTGCTGTGCGTGGCTGGCCCGTGTGTGTGCTGTGCGACAGGGCTGGAGCTCGCCGCTGGACCCGGGCGCCCCGTAGGAGGGGAGGGAGGCGGCGCAGCGTTCGGGCTGGGAAGAGAGGCGAGGGACCGGAGGCAGCGAGCACCACCAGCGAACAAGTCAGAGGATGCAGCGGGAGAGCGGGGAGCTCTCCCTGTCCGTGAGTACCGCTCAACCGCTCTAGCTCCCGCTGCAGCAAGCGGCCTCAGGCCTGGGCTTCCTGGTGGGTGTGAGCGGGAGAGCTGGCCCTCTGCCTCTCTGTTGCAGGTACGACGCCAGCAGCTGCGCGCGCGGAACCCCCCCTGATGCTGTGGGAGTGCTGCCCTTCGTCCATCTTCCGGGCGAGAGGACCAGGCCCTTTGGACCGCTATCATTTTATCGTTTTAATTCTTTTTTTAATTACTATTTTATCTATTTTGTATTGTATTAAACATGATTTTAATTCATTTTCACTTCTGGTTTTATTGGAAACACCCAGCTCTTTTAATCCATAAATTATTTTATTCGGCACCTTTTCTGGCAGTTTTTAATCTACCTTTTTAATGTCAATGCCTCAAAAAAACCCCCACTATCACACACACGCTGTGAAAAAGGCATATTTGTTGGTTATGATAAAAACAGTCCAGCATATCTGGTGTTCTATCCAGATACTGGTAAAGTTTCTAAAAATAGGCTGGTAAAATTTATTACTAAAAGGTTCTACTGAATGTGATACACAAACAGATGAAGGCATGTTTTATGAACATTTAAAGCCTAAAAAGATGGTGGTAAATCCACAGTTTCAATCTGACGAGACAAAAGTGATCCCACCTGAAATCAAAGTAGAGGTGTGTGATACAAACAAATGATGAGAGTAGCCAGGGTTTTCGTTATCCAAAAAGAGATCGGAAACGGACCCAATTTTACAGATTATGACTATGAACTAAAATGTGACGAAGATTTAGCACTGACTAATATTGATTATTGTTATCGTGTGACATGTGATGTTCCACAAACACCAAAAGAAGCTTTGAATTCTTCTAATTCAGAGCAGTGGTCCAAAGCTATGAAGGATGAAATGGACTCACTGATAGATAACGTACATTTACTTTGACAACATTACCTGTAGGTAAACATGCAGTGGGGGGTAGATGGGTGTTTGCGGTAAAAGAGTCCTGTTGAAACCATATACAAAGCCAGATATGTAGCTAAAGGTTATAGTCAAGTGGCTGGTATTGATAATTAAACTTTTTCACCCACTGCTGATATGACCTCTGTGCGTGTTCTGATGCAGCTTGCAGTTCAGTATAGTTTAGAGCTACATCAAATGGATGTCAAAACTGCATACTTACACGCCCCTATAGATTGTGACATTTATATGGAGCAACCTGAAGGATTCGAAGTAGAGTCAAAAACAGGAGAAAAGTTAGTCTGTAAACTCAATAAGTCACTTTACGGGTTGAAGCAGTCAGGACGAAACTGGAATAAGATGCTGCATGATTTTCTTGTTGAAAATGGTTTTGTCCAAAATACTGCTGACTATTGTGTGTACAGAAAAACTGGAAATAAGAAAGTGATGTTGTTAATTTGGGTTGACAATCTCATTATTGCAGCGAGTGATGGTCAAATCCTCAATGATGTGAAGGAAATGTTGGGGGCCAAATTCAAAATTAAAGATCTTGGAAAACTAAGACATTTCCTTGGCATTGATTTTGTCCAAACAAAAGAGGAAGTCAAAATGAATCAAAAACAATATATCACTAAAGTTCTTGAGAGATTTGATATGACCCACTGCAAACCCAGGTTAACCCCATGTGAGATGAAAATGAAATTTGAGGGCGAAGCTGCCGATCCAAAGAAGTACCGTGAAGTGGTTGGTAGTTTAATCTATGTTATGATGTCTACACGTCCAGACTTGAGTTACATTGTGAGTAAACTGTCTCAATACCTTTCTGAACCTAGAGAACAACATTGGGTTGCAGCTAAACATGTGTTGAGGTATTTGAAATACACTATAAATCAAGAAATGTGTTACAAGAAACAAAATGTAAGTTTAAAACTTGTGTCCTACTGTGATGCTGACTGGGCGGCTGACCAGAACGACAGACGCAGTGTTACTGGATATTGTTTCAGCTTATGTGAGAGTGGACCTATTGTTTCATGGAAGTCGAAAAAACAATCTACTGTTGCTTTATCTACATGTGAAGCTGAATACATGGCTCTATCAGCATCAGCTCAGGAAAGCCTGTGTTGAACTTGTTATCTGGGATGGACAGTCAACGTTTTACACCTGTGACAATCTTTGAAGACAATCAGGGTGCGATTGCTCTTTCAAAAAACCCAGTGTGTCGACAGCGATGTAAACACATAAAGTATCATTTTGTGCGATCTGCTATTTCAGATGGAAACATTCAACTTGTGTACTGCCCAACAGAGACTATGGTGGCCGATGTTTTTACTAAATCTGTCGCGAAACCTGGACACATTTGTGTGTTTTCTATTTGGAATATGACTATTGTAATATGTTTTGGGACATGTACATTTGTGTTTTTGTCAATCAAGGAACAAGTGGGGGTGTTGAATGTATGTCCTCAATTGACCCAGTGACCTACTTTCTGTGTGGGCGTGGCTACACACCGGTGCGCAATGTTAATAAATGGCCCTCTGCTTGACACCTGTGAGAACGCATGAAGCCAAACTGAACCTGATGTCTCTGCTTTAGGTTATTCCTCTGTCACTCCGGTATTTCAGTCTTTTACGGCGATGGCTGCGCCAACACTCATGACATCTGGGATCTCGTCTTCGCAGCAGCTTTTTCCACTGGTTTATAGTCGGACCCAAGTTGTTCAATGTATTTATAAAGTTATGGATAATACTGTGTTAGCCGATTGTTTTCACAGTGACAATTGTTTTACTGTTTTGTGCACACTGGGGACTCTTGCTAATGTATTCCAATGTGGTTTTACTGCAAATGGCAAATAAAATGAATCTGAATAATATGTGTGAAAAAGATACAGCACAGATACAATAATGAGTCTTTAGACAAGAACAAATATGCTCTTATCAAATGTAAATGTCCTTTGAGATTATCTGTGCAGCCTTGGTCACAGGTGGACACGGAGGGAGGCAGTCATGACGGAGGCTGGAGGAAGGATGGGGCTAAGAATAGACCTTCCCGGCTTAAATATGACACATATGAAGAGAAATGAGAAGCAACGCTGTGGCCATATTGTGCTCGCCGGAACCAAAAGAGAAAGCAAAGGCACTACTATTATTCATGTAGCAGGTAGCAGTAGAAGTGCATGCAAGGCCGTATAACCTACTTTGGCCGGTGTAACGCTGGTTGAGACGGGAGTGCGTTGTTCTGACCAAACCCACTTTCACACCACGGGCACAACCAGAATAATGGTTGGAGATCACAGCTGCTGAAGGCCATATGGCACACTTCCACGCAGTCTGAGTGGGCATTCCAAAAAAGCCTTTATAGGAGGTTAATATTGTGGGGGATTGCTCTGTACTCTTTAACTGACTTTTGACTAAGTGTAAAAGTCAGATTTGTAGTCTTAATTCAGAGTTATTTTCTCTAATTCCTGGGCCAATCCCCATCCACATGAAACAACTTTGTCAGTACAACTACAGTCTTTTTTTGGTCATGAAGCGGTATCTAGAAGTAGTGAGAATACTGCAAAAACATGCAAGGACTTTCAAACATAATAACATGGCAGGGCTGTCAATCTAATAACTAACAAACATTAACATGTTCTTATTCAACATGTCTTTAATCCCTACTTTATAGAGTAGCACCTGCTCTCCATCTGAATTCTACAACATGAACGCAACCTATGATTATGTCAATATTGCAGGCATATCCAAGTGCACTGCTATAGAATGATATGATTTTCACAGTGACTTGCTTTATAGAAATGAAGCAGTAGAAAGCAGGGCAGTGGCAGTCCCCCAAATCCCCTACAGGTCACTTTAAGAGACTGGGACTGGATCAACAGCTGGGTCCAGTTGCGTTTGACATGGACACACAGGGAGCTTTGTTTGCATACAGGAGTCAGATTTTAGAAGTAATCCGCTATATATGTTAGAGTTTCACAGTGCAACTTTTAGTATAGCACAAGTCTGTCAAAATCAATCTTCCATTCACCATTTCCCAGTGCAAAAGGCCTCCTAGATCCGAATCTGGAGAAGGACAGGCTGGCACCACGAACCAGGATGTGTGGAAATTTTGAAAAACGCCAAAGCCAGTCCAGGACAGGCGAATACTTAAAGATGGAAGCAGAAACACGGTAAAGTTGTGTATCTTGGTAAGCGGTATAATAAAAGAGCGTGCTGGGATGGAGCGTGTCAACACAAACGCGACAACGTATCTATAGATCAAACGCAGCGTGTGTGGAGTGGGGGGGGGGGAACAATAACAAAAGAAGTAAACGCGAAAAAAAAGGCGCTGTGCATTTCGCTTTCTGGCTAAATGACAGAATTGCAAGTCTAGGCGTTTGCACTTACGGGGTCGAAGCGGTCCCACCCGGTCCGCAGGAGAATCCAGCCGCGGTTCTTCCGGTTCTGTGCTCCCGGTGTGTGGCGTGCTCTGGGCGGGAGGGATGAGCTCTGTCTGCGCCTGAGGACTGCGCTATGGAGCAGCTCTGCGCCTGCACTGGAGCTGCGTCATTTTACCAAGCGCATACGGGCACCGAAACCAAGCCAATGCAGCCATCTTACGGAGGTTTGAACAGTCTGTGGATGCATCTGCAGACTGCACACTGGGTTTGACGCGAAAGGGAGTCCACCCATCCATGTGTAGGGTTTTGGTTTATATATACATATTTTTATTAATCCATGTGTTGTTGGAGCAGAATGGACTCTTAATCAACTAAAATAAATTAATAATTGTCAACACTTTTCCGGACAACCTACATTAAGATATTAGGGAAGGTTGAGTTGCCTACTTCTTTATTCAACAACTATTTGCCCTCTCTCTCTCTGATCCATGCCGCGCACCAACAGCCTGGTCTACAGTCTGCATTACAGCGCCCTCACGTGGTAGTTTCGGGTTGTGTAAAAACAGTATGAATGCAGTACTAGAAGTGTGTTCATTTAAAAAAATATATTTACAGAATCAATGTTCTTTATATGTTTTGTATTCTTCCATCATGAATCATTTCTGTTAATGTGGCAGAGTCACAGTTGCTATAATTTAAATAAAATCAAAAGGGGAGACCATTAGTAAAACATTAGAACAAGCATTCCTAAATCAACGAGTTATAATGAAAAATGCACCGTGAGAGAAATGGAAATTGGTCAGTCACAAACAGTACGCTTTGGGCCCATTAGGTCTTGTTACCAAAAGAGAAAAATCTATAGTCCATGAGGTAAGAGCTGTCATTCAATCCCTTGTGGTCCAGTATTGGGCTGCCTTGGCACACAACGCCATCTACAGTGTAAGATGCAGGATGCAGTACATGGATATTAACCATGATCACAATTACCCTCCTTTTCAGTAATTGTTTAAGGCTTTCACATGGATGTTTGCCCCTGTGTTTAAACCACAGTCTCAGGCCAACATTTCACATGATATCAGAGTTCATCCCTCTCCATCTGCTGGAATGCCTCCAAGTCGTCCTGCCAGTCTGCCAGCAGAGACTCCACCGAGCGCCTGCTTTCTGTCCGCTCCTCGTGCTCCGGCTTTGGCTCAGAGTCAGTCTCCTCTTTAGCTTGAGTCAAATGTGAATCTACAGAAGAGTCTGCCGAATGGTCATCCTCCAGGGCAGGGCTGGTTCCTTCATCGGCCCCAGCAGCCTCCTCCGGTGAAGTCACAACCTGAGGAGCAGGTTTCTCTGGTTCTGTCGTGGGAATGTCGGGTAGGTCCAGAGGCTCAGAGGTTTCAGTTGTTGCATCAGTTACACGGCCCTCTGTTTGCATATCCGCTCCTGAATAGAAAACACAAGTTGGACTGCATGCACAGACCGTAGGAGCAAACCTAATCCGTATCAGTCCGCCCTCTCCACATCTCACTTACAAAATGTCACCCAATAATAGCACTGTTTTTATGGATTAGTTGTTGACCACAGCAGCAGAAAGCAGAGGATGGTGAGTCATCCTCCTCATGGAAAAGGTCTTACAAATTATATTCATTTTGTACAAACCACATCAGATATGAATTATTAAATGGCACAAGGGACACCATGATTTTTTAGTTTGACAAACATCTGCTTTGCTAAAGATATACTTTCATCTTCAGCACAATAGATTCTACTTTAAACATTTAAACCCAATTCTGTCTCAATCTTAAATATATGGAAAATATCAATGTTTTGATGCACAAACAAAAACCTGGAAAGCCATATAGATTTTTGAAACAAGCAGCAGACTCAAGGTTGCCACTTGTTCCCCTATATAGATAGCTTTTATTAGTTTGCATTAAAACAGAACTTACTGTTCTCAATCAAGCTGCCAGGAGGTTTATCTTTAAATATAGTTTCTGTTGATCCAAAGTGAAAGGAAAGAAGCAGAAAGGGAGACACAAGGAAACAACAGCAGAGTGTCACATTCAGTGTAAGGCTGCAGAAGTGTTTTATAACAACCAGTGAAGGAGATGTTTGGATAGGACTCAGGGTGTACCTCGGTCACGAGCCTTGTCACTCAGCAGCACCTCCACCTCTCGATGCTCCTTCAGAGCCTCCAGCAGGATATTTCCCTCTTTGTGGAAGAGGAACAGCAGGGGTAAGGTGACGTCTTCCGTGCTGCGTCCATCTCCAGCCATCTGGAAGAGGGGAGCTGTGTCACTGCTACTGCCCTCATTGTCATCTGTGGAAGGAGACCAAATCAAAGGCATCGTTTATGAACCGTAACAACATGTGTAGATCCTCGACGAAACTACCCTGGCCACAATACACATAAAGCAAAACATATCAAGTCCTTTGAGCAAAACAACCAACTTTAAATTAAAAAAACAACATTTTGCCAAGATTTGCCAATAGACCATCTTTGGGAAATATTTTGTGTTAAAGAATTTTTGCTAAATTATAGAGAGCAGTACAGGTCTATCAAGTAATTACAATCCAACTTTTGTTGCCAGAATCATCTTTGCCTGTGACATATAGAGCTGCTCAGTACCGATTACTGATGGAATCCACCGGCTGGGGTTTAGCTAGAAACAGTACAAACTCTATGTTTTAGATATTATCTTATCTGTGTATCTATTTTCAAGACCAACTACATTTTACCCAACAAACTGGCAACCCAAATGAGAGACTCATTCTGCTCTCTTCATACTTAATGCAGAAGGATTCTTACATTAGACCCTTTGTCTATTGCTGTGTATTTTCCAAACGTAACAATATTAAGTATTTTGCAGTGTGCAACAAAAAACAAAATCCTACTTTTTAAAACAAATGTTATTGCAACCACAATGTTTGTTTGGAAAAAAATCAACAACCAATAATTTAATCATTCAGGCATAAAAAACTCACCGATGACAATGCCCCCGATGGCCCCAGCTTTCTGAATGTTCCGGGCCTTCTCTGCGAACATGCACTGGCCCCGCTGCAGCAGCGCAATGTGGCCCTGGACGTACTCCGCGTTGGTGACGTCACTACAGCCGCTGTACGGCTCCGCTACCGTCACAAAGCCTCTCACCTGACCAAAACAGAACCACTGCAATTAGTTTGGTTTAGTAGAGCTGCTAATATTCTTATATCGTTTTACAACTTTTAGTATTACATTTTTGATACAAGCTCAAAGGAAGTGGACAAAAGCAAGAAAGCAATGATTATTCAGAGCAGCTCCTTTTTAAACCTTTTTTGAGTCAGTTCAGGGAAAATGTTCACTATGATTAGATTCTAAGATGTGCTCAGAGAACAACACACGAAAAGAAATCCTTTACGACCCGACATCTAAACCTGAACAGGATAAGTTAGTGAATAAGAAAGTAATGTTTATTTATCTAGCGCCTTTCACAGACCAGGATCACAAAGCACTTAAAAACATACAGAGAATAATAGAGCACACACAAGTGAGTTCTAAAAGCAAACAAGCAGAATTATTTAACACAATGAAACTAGTATTTTAACTAAAACTATATTTTTTTGTAAAATATACATTTTAGAATACAAATGAGTTCAACATAAATCGAAAACACTATTTTGCCAGGACTTTATAGCCCCGGGTTACCTCCAGAAAATCAATTGTTAAGGTTGTGTCTGTCCAGAGTCGCCGGGGTGAATTGACTTTAAACAATTATTTATTAAAAACTAAATGGTTCATAGTCATACACAAGGTGCAACCCATACTAATAATCAGGGACAAGAACAAACTAAACAGCCACTGAAACATTTTCAGTGCAATAACTTATAGCAAAGATGACAAGTAAAATATCTGAAGGGCTATGTTGTCTTTTAAGTCTTTCCCAGGCGGACCATTGATGCTGAGCTTCATTACAATTTACAGCATCCAGAGAGAGCTTTAATTAGGTTTCCTTAAAATGTAAGATGTATATTTTGCATGTTTATGTAACAACCAAATCCTTTGGTGAGCTACTTGGGAGTGTGTGGTGAGCTACTGGTAGCTCCGGAGCTACAGGTTGGAGACCTCTAGTGGAGCCTATATATGAATTTGTCACAAGAGAAGATTTATTGCAAAAATAATATAGACACATGGCTCAAACATACCCCTGTGATGCTCTTTGACAGGTCTGTGCCAAACTGTGCAGGGCCTGCTGTCAGCACCACTCTGCCAGAGAACGGATGGGAGACAATCTGAATGGCTCTGGGGGGAAGCTGCTCTTTCTGCTGCTGACTGGACAGCTCCATCATCTCCTGCATAAAGCGAACTCCATCCTCGGCCGCTACTGCACTCACAGCCTGAACATGGACAAAATATCAGCATTTTGGTAAAGGATATACGTGTATTTGTGTCATTGTTTGGTGATTTTTGGGCACCTGTGTGGCGTGCTGGACCAACTGCACGCGGCCGTCCTTCAGGTGGATCAGACTGACGCCCATTCGTCTGAGGAGCTCCAAATGTTCCGGGTTGTTTGCCATAAAATCTTGAGCTCTCAGAGGAGGATGGCCTATACCGGGCTCTCTGTGCACATAACAGAAAACCATGATGGAAAATAATAACAAAATCTCAGATCTAGAGTAGTAGTATACTCTCTCATTGACAGGTTGTGTTCATGTGACCTCACAACATCGCAAAGAGCTTAAAATTGTGGCGGCAGCTAAAACGTATACTGGTAAATGTGGTAACAGTAAAACGTCAGATTCCTGGTCTTAGTTTAGAGCCGATTTCTCTGTAATTCCAGGGTCAATTCACAACTTATTTTTCATATCAACTATGATCTATTATTATTAGTCTAGAAGTGGTGACAACATTCAAAACACATATCAATGATACTGATTTGTAGAAAGGACTTTTTGACAAACAAATATGGCTGGTTTGTGAATCTAATCACTATCAAATAATGTTCTTGGGAAACATTTGGACACTATCTTTTTCAAAAATTTCTTTAATTTAGGGTTGTATTGGCCCCTGTCCGAAATACTGAAATTCTACAACATGAACACAGCGTATGAATTGTCTTGACAAACCTATAAGGAGCCGGTCGTGGACAGCTCTTGTCTACAGCACTGCGGATGGGCTCTCTAATATTTCGAGGGAAAGCTGGATCAGGAAAGAGGAGCCGAGTGTTGGGACATGTCCAGTCAAAGTTTGAGTCGTCCAATTCTTCTTCCGTCTGAAGTCAAAGAAAATTTGAGTTGAATTATTACTACTCTCTAACCCTTTGAGTAATGTATTGGGTCTTACTGTTGTATTTAAAGTGATGAAGGATGAGGAGTGGGGAGCAGTGGAGAGGGACAAAGGGAGAAAGTGGGCCTCTGTAGTAAAAATGTAGTCCTCCACATCAAACGGCACATCTTCTGCCTCAGCAAAAAGCAGGAAGAGGTATTTGAACATCTCGGCGAGGAAGAAAGAGTCCATTCTGAGGGAAAGCAGGATAGACGCTTTTATTCAACATTAAATGCATTTGCCCTGACACACAAATCAACATGATCATCAGCTCGGACCTGTCCTCGTGGCTCCCAGTGCGTACGTCCTTCATCGCAGCAAAGCCACATGGGACACGCGCATACCGATTCAGATTGTCCAGAATTGTGCGCCCCGCCTCCAGGTAATATGGGTCAGCAGTCGCCTGGAAGACAGTGGAAGGTGTGTGGACTGCTACCAGCATTCTGTCTCATTAAAAGCCCATTATTACATATGTTTCTAGGCAATTACCTTGTACAGGAAATAAGTGCTTTCTGCAAACTCTGGCCTCAAAGGATGCTGGGCCCAGTGTACTCTAAAATCAGTTGTAAAAGCCTGAAAAGGACAAACAGCAAATGTACTGACAGCTGCATTAAAGTCAAATGGTTTTTGTTAACTTGTTACTTTTTACCTCTGGCAAAAAGTTGTGTTTTTTGGTAACTTGATATAACATTTCATGCGTCTCAATAGCGGGCCGAATATCTCCTTTGAGCACCTAAGGGATAGGGGGAGATGTAATGCATGAATTGACAAAAGAATATATTATAAGTGACAGAACAAGAAGGGCAGCAAACCTGAAGACCAGGGAAGAAGGCAAGCAAAGAGTCCATCCATGTGCGAGCCGGGAGCAGGGGCTTGTGGATGTGGACGTCCAGCAGTAGCGGAGGCTGGCTGATGTACTTCATTATGGAGGCATAGTGCTACATGAATCATCATGACAAATGTGATCAAATAAACTGGTCCACACAGCACATCAATGGATCAGAGTGAATCATTTGGCCTGGTCAAACTAATGGTAAACTCACAATATTGAAACGCTGAAGGAACTGGTCATCTCCCAGAAGGACGTAAGCTTTCAGTAGGTATTCATAGTACGAGTCTATTCCGGCTCCTACTCCACTGTCTGGGAACATATCATCAATAAACATCTTCAAATGAACAGCTTCAGTCCAATGGATAATTTTCTAACTCAACCGTCCTACTTTTAAAATCTTTAATGCCAGACTCACCTCTACGGACCCACTCCCCTGAGTGGATGTTAATTGTAGTTCCAACAAGATTGCTGTTTCTTTGCCTCTTTTCCCAGAGAAAGTCTAAGGCTTTCCGTGCATGTGCCTATTTTTATGACAAGCACAGTAATGAGCATAAAAGTTAGCATGAAATGTATACTCTTTAGATGCTTGGAGTGTAACTGACTAGGTTGTTTAGAAAAAGTGAAAAGTATAACACTGGTGACGCAGGGAAAAACATTTTACTTACTTTAATCTTCAATAAATGAATGATTTTTTTACTGAATTTTATTAAATTGAAAGTGCCATGTGTGTAGATGCATATTGTATTATGGAATTTCTTTGGAATTTGCCACAAAACAGCCTCCATCTAACCTCAATACCTGGGACACTTTTATGTTCTCTAATACTATATTCCAAAACTATAAATAAAACAAGTTTTGTTACCTCAAAAACTGGATCTCCAGTGTATCGACTTAATGCAGCAAACTCCAGAATCATAGTGCCGGCACAAGCAGTACAGGTGTCTGTCTCGGTTCCTGTTCTCGTCTCAGGGCCCCTCACTCCGTACTTAAGGTTCACCTGAAAAGCACAAGGAAGGTTGATTTGAATGTGTAAATACAGGGTTCTCTGCAGATTTTTAAGCAGCATCGGAGTCCCCCTTTCCTGCCAAGCAACAGTAAAAACAGAAATAAGTGTAGCGTTAGGCTACACTTATTTCTGTTTTTACTGGAGAAACTGACCTGTATTGCAAAAGGCAGGCCTTTGTCAGCCACTTGACCTTCGGGTACCATTTATAATTTTACTTGCCCAATGTCAAAAGTAACTTGCCCAAATGTTTCTCAATACAAACAAGAGTTTGGCAATAAAACGGCACTAACTGTGAGAAAAAAAAATCCACTATCAGCCCAAAAAGTCAAATAATGACTCACAGGGCTCTTACAGTATATGCAAAATAAAATACAGACTATTGTGGTGTGCTCTGTTTGATTTGTTCACAACATTTCTCGTTTGTGCACAACAAACATGCATTGTTAATGCAAGGCTAACATTTAAGTACCAGAGCTTTAATTTCGTGAGTTTTGGCTGCGCTTGAGTAGGAGACATGGGGGAAACACGAAGAGACAAACACTTCCAACAAGCTGGGGTAAGCACGTCTACGGACAACACTCAGTACCACGTTATGGCTGAGCGCTCGCTGAGCAGTTGTCAAAGCGGCCACAGCTGCCCCGGGGTCAGACTGGAGGATGTGAATCCCGTTCGAGTACGTACAGCAAACAACAGCAAGTGCCCGCTGTCACTCATTTCACAAAAATTACATTTTCAGCAGGAAAAAGTCAGCGGAAAATTTGCATTCCTGGTATATCCTGATGAATTTCATTGGTCCAAAAAAAAGATAAACAGACGTGTCCACTCCCGGCTCTAGAAGTAGGAATGCCGGAATGAGTTTCATGTCACTTTCCCGATCGGGAAACTAAGACAGCGCACTTGTCCATCCCAAATCTTTTTATCCCGGGCAAGCGGACCACCGCTAATATCGAGCCCTGCAGAAGGAAAACTTTAGAGACAGTTGGTTGCCCGTTCTACGCCTTGTAAAAGACTTGTTTGTTTAAAATGACTTTGTTGTAATTGAGTGGAGGGCAGGTTTTTGGGTGGGGGAGGGATTTAATGTAATTTTCTCTTTTCTATTTGTGTAAGAGAGGGTCTAATGTTTTGCCTTTAAATTAAAAATTTCAATAAAAATTTGTGAAAAAAAAGGAAATGGATCACACCACAGTGTTGATCAAAACCCAGTGCTTTTCTTTTAACGGAAAAAGAGCAAGAAGGACGTGGCATTTGCAGCCGTACGCGTGGGTTAAGCTGTTGTCAACAGCGTTACAAAGTTCTCAGGACTGAATTCACTTTGTAAACATGTATATAAATGTATACATTTACAAATACACATGTGTGTGTATTTATATTATATATATATAAACTTGTTTACAAAGTGAATGCAGAATACATACATAAACAAGTGTAAACTTTGTCTAGGATTGGAGAAAGATTCGAAGAATAGTGCAGTGTGAGTACTGTGTTCTTACTCGAGGATAAGGCAGGCCACTGCTGGTGTTAAAGGCTGGTAGAAGTCTTAAGCCCACATCTTTGGCCATATGCAAAAGCTCATCTTGATACCAGTGCATGATCTGGCCTTGATTTTTCAGCATGACAGCCATAGAGTGACCGCCTAAGAGACCACTACACCAAACACACATACGAGACACTAATCAGAGGGAATAACACAAGATATTGCCCAAATATAGTATGTAAGACTTCATTCATGAATGTCACTTACCCAAGAACACGAATATTGGTTTCAAATACTGAAACCACTATGTCATTGTCCAGCTTCACATCCGACAAGACTTTTTTAACTGCAGCTTCAAATTCTGTAGTTTTGTTTAAAAGCTGGAAAACATAAATGATGTAATAGGCCAAAGACGTTGATGTTGCATAACTGTTATAACATTGTAACTCACCACCAGAGTGTCCAGCGTATCAATAAGCGTCAGAGAGAACCTGGTATACAGTGTGTATAATACGTTGTTATTATATGTTGAGGGCAAGACTCATGTTGAAATAAATTAACCTACATTCCCAAAGCATCATCAACATCTCCACGACTAGGCTCAAGTCCTCGCACTCTGCCTCTGCATGTCAATGGCATTAGTTCATCGGCCGGATATGCATGGTCCTGAGAAACACAAACATAAACTCGAATTCTAAACATGAAAACAACAAGCAAAGAATACTATGGTGAGCATCCTTTTTACCATATAATTCTGATATGCATGGTCAAACATCTCCACCACTTGGTCTCTTTAGTACAGACAAGAAAAGCATGTTGTAAAAAGAAAATACATTATACAGTTATGTGTCGATGAATTACTTACTTCAACTTGCGTTTCTCCTCTCGTGTTATTGCCTCCCCGTGGATACACAAAGCTCCAAGAAGCATTGGTATCAAGAACACGAATATCATCATGGCTTGCGGGCTTAACTTAAAAGACTGTTAGCTGGTTTTCCATGCTCCTAGCAACCCTGACATTGCAAGTCCATCTCAGACACTCACAAGAGGAAAATTAGAATATCATAAATCTACCCCTCGCACTGCAGATCCACCAGCCAACTCTTGCTAGACAAAATAGGACAAGAAAGGAACTAAAAATATGTTTGCTTGGCCTTGTCAGCATTAATAGCAGTCACGCCTGTGTACATATCCAACTTGCCACCCGGATCTGTCACAAAGTAGGTTGTGACACGTTGACAAATAAACCACGCCGCAAATGATAAGAACGTATTGCTGCTTAGATCTCTCACTATCAGACCACAAATCTCACTCATTTACTTTCGTTATGAAACATTTCCGTTAAGACAGCGACTCATAATAGTAAATACAGGACACGTTAATAATTTCCATTGACCAGAGTTTCAGTCAAAGCAGGAGTGAGAAACTTGACAGCAGCTGATTAGCCTGTTAGCATGTTAGCCAGATGTGCTAACTCTTGGAGCTAGCATACCAGGAGGCCGAGAGGCGGGGATAACAACACAAGCAGGCAGCAGCACGTCCATGTCTGAAAGCTGCGTAGGGAGGTTGTTTGCTTAAATTGTCGAGGGTAATTCACTCGGTTTATACAGGGTAGATTTCAGGCATCTCCGGGCAGCGAGTATTTTATTCGTAGGTAGGTTCTGCCACAGGGACCGATTTCAGACGATTTCAGCCAATCAGAAAGCTAGTCTGAAGTGACGTGTTCAGCGCGCCGGTGATTAACAGCTGAAAACATAAAATGGACACTTTCAACATTGTTTGTTATTATTATTGTAAATTATATATACATGGTATATGTAATACAGTAAATACAATTCGCATGTAAATTAATAAATGGTTTATTTTTAGGTTGTAATGTAATTCACCGTCGTCTGCCGGCGCGCTGAACACGTCACTTCAGACTAGCTTTCTGATTGGCTGAAATCGGTCCCTGTGGCAGAACCTACCTACGAATACAATACTCGCCTCCGGGCACTAACCCAAGCCCCGGCGATCCAAGATGGCGCCCTATTCAAATGAATGGTTGTGCTCAGTGGCGCTTTGTGACGGCATGGGGGCTGAAAGATTAGCGGAAGTTGCCTGAAACTCGCAAAGATCTATGGGAAACTCGCCTGTATTTGGGCATAGTCTGGTCCTCCCGGTTCTGCGCAGTGGATGATCTCCCATAATGCGTTGCGCCAAACACGCGTGTGTGGGTCTCACACCGGGTCTCACGCACGTGCACAGAGGGGCTCGGCCGCGCTCTGACCAATCAGAGCAGTTCATCAGAGCGGGAGTTAGAGCGAGAGCCAGAAGAGCAGAGTTTGTGGCACTAAAGTGTGGATTTAAACAAAACCAAAGGATTTAAGAAGAAAAAAAGTTCAGGATGACAAGGGACACTAAAATCCCCACAAAATCCGACCTTTATGAAAGCTGTAGGTTCTCTGTCAGCTGAGGTTGAGCTGTTTTAATATGCATTGAGTTCTATGGGGAAAATTTCTGGGTGGCCCACGTGAATTTAGTCTGGTTCAGTCTGCAGTACCGCGAGAATCCCCTGAGCACGTGAGTTATTCAGCTACAAGCTAGTAATACCCTATCCAGTTAATATAATACATCCATGCACTAACCTGACCGGAAAAAACCGGATATGCTTTTGATTAATTTGTCAACAACATCCGCTTGCTGGAGCTCAGTGTGTCTTTTCTGTTTGCACTGGACTGCCAATGTTCCCTCATATGTTATTATTGCGAACAGCACTTTGCCATGTTTGTATTGTACTTTCATCAAAAAAATGCAATTTAATAAAAAATAAAAATAAACTTCATACCGGAAAAACCGGATATGCTTTAGATTAATTTGTCCACAACATCCGCTTCCTGGAGCTCAGTGTGTCTTTTCGGTTGCATCCAAGTTATCCAATTTCATACATAAATCTCTCTTTTCTTGCTATTCCTTTTCTGTTAAATTTAATTTTAAGAGAAAAGGACATTTAATTTAACTTAAATACTATTAACCCATTTTAAAAAGATGTTACACACTTCCACACTTGGAGCTAACCCCGTGAAAGAAGGATAGGATTTAAATATGTTGCTTCTGAGTTAAGACACTTAACCCCACTTTGCCCAAAAGCTCCCACTGAAAGATCAAGGCTATGCTCACACTCAGAGAGCAGCCGTCCTCCTGTGGACTCACCACCTGCAGAGGGTCAGTGAGGGGCTGGTGCTATGAGACTTGGGTGGCATCTCTGACTGCCACCCCCCTGACCCAGAAATGGATTAAAGGGTAGAAAATGGATGGATGGATGGGCTTCTGAGTTTAAAATAAAGTGTTTGTTTTTGTTTAATAATTGTAACATTATCATTATCGCTATTATTATGTATCTATGTAAACTACGAAAAAGGTGGAAAGCATCCAGAAAAAAATTTAAATAAGATAATTTTCTGCCAGTTGACTAGTTTTTCCTTAGATTACAAATCCCGTGCCCTTTGGACCACATTTCCCAAAAAACTTGCGCGTGGTCACTTGACTTCGATGCAAGTCACGTGACAAAACAGGACCCTGGGATACGCTCACATCCATAGATCTGCCCATGGAGGTCTATGCATGGGGCTCTAAAGAACTGCTTAAAAACAAGTCAACAAGTCTCGACTTCGGAGTTGCTGGTTCTTCTTTTGGCTCATTCTTCATCTCCCAAACATAAGGTATTTTCTGTTACGAAGCGGGTTACGCCATGTTCAATGCTTTTCTAGATGTAAGTTATAGATAGGTTATAAAAGTGCCTTACTTAATTTATAATTTTTCGTTTTTCTTAGATGCTCCATGAGATAGGGAGCACTCTAATGTCATAGTTTGTTTGCATTTCCTGTTTAATTGCTTTTCTTTCCATAGCGGTGTGCGAGTCATGGCTCCTGCTGCGGAAAGAAGAATGACTGGAGTGATAGCAGCAACATTCACACCATTAACACCTGAAGGGTAAAACTACCAGGACTGTAAAATATATCATTGTGTTTGCACATTTCTTTCTTTTTGCACAATCTTGAGTGTTTCTATCCATGCCAGATGTGACATGTAGATTTCTCCTGTGTGAGATCAATAAAGTATATCTTATCTTATCTTATCTTTTCCGGAAAAAACGTTGCAATGTAAAAAGCTAATACAAAATAACACACTGCAACCACCAAATATCTATGTATATTCTTTATTTATTTATTTATATGACCTACTTCATGACTCCCACTGATGTTTGCTGTTGTTGTATCCTTGGGCAAGACACTTAACCCCACTTTGCCTGAAGCCCCTACTGAATGATCAAGCCCCCCTCCCAAAAAAATGTGAATTTTAAAGGAATCTACTGTTTTGAGCTTTTAAACAAGTTACAACATTGGTCCTTCATTAGTTACAGACCTGGAGTTGTTTGTAGATCCATCCACGCTAATATCAGTAGCCTCTGCCACAAACATGTATATCTCTGCTCCTGTCTGAAATCTTAAATTGTATGATGTGATTGTAACACTAGTGTATCATGTTCAGAGCTGTTTTCGGCTTTTTAAAAATAAAAGTATTGCCTCTAAATTAGTTTAGGTAATTTCTCAGGTGAACAAAACATCTAGTACATAAATGTTGCTACTCCCTCTAGTGGTAATTATATGCTGTTACATGCATGTTGCAATGAGCCGTGTTGGGGGAATACTTTGCAAATGTACTGCATTAAGTTACGCTCAATAGCACTGACTTTTGCATTGAATTATAGTTTGTGTTCCGCATAAACATGTGACATTTCCTTTAGTTTTCAGGGAACATTGTATTGAAATAGCAGGATGAAATAACAGAGTATTCTTTCTGATCACGCTGTTTTCTGAATAGTTTTTCAAAAATCGTGTGCTGATGTATTCTGTAACTCCTTGAATACGAATCCAAAATTGTAAATGTTTTAATCCCTCTTCCAACAGGGAAATAAATCTGACTTTGATCGGACCTTACATTGACTACTTGATCGAGAAGCAAAATGTCAAAAGTATATTTGGTGAGTATTTGATAATTTTATAGAAGTCTTTTCTGAAAACTGCTAAATATTATCATATGGGAATTCAAACTAGTTATTTTAGAATCATAAAAGTTTAAAGAGAATCAAGACAAGGCTTTTCACACACATGGTAACTCAGATATATCCACAATTTGTCCTAATCTGAATCTCAAAACACTAGAATTAAAAAGATACACAAGTTACACAGTTCATCAACAACACATAATTCTGCCTTTTCAAAGAAGACAATGAAGAGTCTCCCTCATTTACGAAACTTGCGTACGGAAAAAAATTACACTTTTCTGCATTTATCAATATACACAAAATATACACCGAGTCTGGAGGTGGCGTACGCTCATCTCAACCTTCATCATAACATGAAAAAACATGCATGAAAGTCAAGAATAATAAACATATTCCCAGTCTGGCAAGATTATAAGCTGTGTTTCCATTGTGCAGCAATGACATCTGAATTTGCGCATCAGAAAATGTCTAATGGAAACACGCAAACTTCAAATAAATCACAGTTCACGATGAGGACCCTCCTGTTTCTTTGTTTTTAAATCGGACTTAAGTGTATTATTTTGATCTATGTTTTTTAAATGTGAAGCCCTTTGTGATCCTGAAAGGCGCTATACAAAAACACTTTACTTACTTACTTATTTTTATTTTTTTATTTATTTGTTTATTTGAGCAGACAAGTACTGCTCAAAAGGAGTGGGCCGAAGCAAAAGCTTATTGGTGCCCACCCCCAAAACACAACATGTAAATATACACACTTTACATAGAACAGCAACTATGCAAATGTAAAAAAATAAACAAGAAAGAACAGACGATAACAGCAATATTAACGACAAATAATGGCAACTGTTTAAAGCAACATCACTCTTCAAGGTCAATAAAGATCATAATGACTATAATAAGCAACAAAACGAAATTGATAAAATAGAAATAAAAAAACAAAACAAAACCAAACACCAATTTATTTTAGCCCGATTGCGCCCCCTAGTGACACATAATTTCCTCCTCTTTATATTTATCGAAAGTCTTTTGTTTGTATTTAAATTTGAACACATTAATGTTTGGACTATGTTTCATCTCCCGCTCCAAATTATTCCACAGTTGAACCCCATTAACTGTGGGGCTGAAACTTTTCAGTGTTGAGCTGTGTTTCTGTATCATCAAGTTCAATTCTTCTCGTAGTTTGTAACAACTAGTTCGCTCTTGAAACCTTTTCTGTATTTGTTTTGGTAAATGTTTATATCTTACTGTCTTTCTTTCTCTGTAATGTGCTGAATTGACAATGATTTCCCCACTGTGGACTTTGTGACCCATCTATTGCTCTGTAAATCTGTGGCTGGCCCTGCACTGCATAATTATGCATGGCTATTTGTTTTGCCTCATTCACCTCTGGCATTTTTTTGTTAGTTTTGTGCATAAAGCCTCAAACACCCCATTTACGCACCGATGGACTGTGGTCTTGCTCACTCCAAACGTCTCACTGCCCTGTACTCCGCATGTAGCATTTTATGGATAAGATGGTAACGCTTATCTGTAGGAACTGGCTTTCGGGCAGTGGTTTTTTTGAGCAGTGCGAAGCCGGTGCCCCAAGAGGTCCCACCGCATAACTCGAGTCATTCAGAAGTTTTGGATCGAGAGTTCCACTGTCAAATCATGGACCACTATGTCCCAAAAGCTCCTTATACCAACCCTTTCTCAAGCGTACAGAGATCACTGCTCCATTGCATTCACAATAAGATGCTGCAGACGCTTCATTCAGATAACAATGAGAGCCACAGATTTTTGCAATGTATCAAAAAAGTGTTGCAAATGTGGTCAATGGAAACGCAGATGAATGCTACATTATATACTATAGCCTTTTGAAGCTTCCAAACAGTCTCCCTGGCTGTGGCTGACTTCCACTCAGCTATGTCGCAAAAACGGGACGTGAAACAGGCGGTTGCTGCATATTTATAGACGTGACTTGCATAAATACGTTTGTTTTCAGCCACTGCATTCATCAACAGCCGCAGGTGCCTACGCTCGGATCTGGGCGGATCTCGCACGTTCATAAATCCCACGATGGGTCTTGCATATTTGGGATATACATCCAAAATGTGCATCTTTTCTGCGCAAGTTTCATAAATGTTTCTCAAAAATGTCCCATATTTCAGGTTTGTGGTTTTGCCTAGGCCATGAGCTCATCGCTATGATGGATTTGACACAGAGAAGCTTGAGGAGAACAATGGGGGGTTAAAGTGCTGAATGGTCATAGTTATAACTGCATGTCCAGGGCATTCTCCTGAGAGCATATTTGGACTGGGTCACAGGAAGATTAAGGAAATGTTTTAGCAACTTTTCCTATTGTCCAATGTCTTTTAAATGGATTTGCAACAGTTCCGTGTTTTGCTCTTTTTAAAACTGTCCTTATTTTGTTGATTTCGATCTTTGTGTTTTTGCAGTGAACGGCACAACTGGTGAGAGCATGTCTTTGAGTGTTGCAGAAAGGAAAGCATTGGCTGAGGAGTGGTGCCTTAAAGCGAAGGGGAAGTACGTCATAAATATGTGTGTACCTTTTGATTATGTTAAAATCAATAGCTTTTGACTGGTGCATGTTTTCTACAGAATGGATCTGGTCGTAGTGCATGTCGGTTGCATGAGCCTCAAAGACTCTCAGGAATTAGTAAGTTGTTTGATTTGCAACTCATTTTGGCATGAATTGATATTTCATATATTCTACATTTCCACACCAAAAATAAATAATAGCGTTTTCAATATGACTTGAAACTATTTTCTTTTTTAACGGTTTCATTTGTGCTGCCTTCATGTGGTCTGGTAAAGACTGTTCTTTCCATTTGTGAAGTGGTAGTTACAAGTGTGTTTTGTTCAGGTACTTTACTACATGGCGGCCGTAATTATCTCATTGTGCTTTGTAACGAATGAATAAATAAATGTTTAATTCTTTGGTATTTGAACACTGTCTCTAGGCAGAGCATGCGGCTCAGATTGGAGCAGATGGGATAGCTGTCATCTCCCCATCCTTCTTCAAACCCAGCACTGCAGGTTGGTCAACGGTTTGCTAGTGATACTTTCCCCTTTTCTGTTTATAATATTGACAAAACATTCACAGAAACTATTGTTTTCAGATGATCTAAAAGAGTATCTGCGACAGGTGGCCATAAAAGCTCCCACAGTACCGTTCTATTACTACCACGTTCCATCTGTCACTGGAGTGAAGGGTAGCTGTGTACATTCAGCCACCCAACAGTAAAGATCCTGTTCATATGTATTAATGATCTTTCCAACAGTGCCAGTGCGGGACCTGCTGCATGACATTGAAAAGCTCATTCCATCCTTCAGAGGAGTCAAGTTTAGTGGGAGTGACCTCATGGATTTTGGTCAGTGTGTCAGTCACAGTCGACCACATTGGTCTTTGGTCTATGGAGTAGATGAGGTAAGGAGCTGCTTTACAAATGTCCATATAAGTGTTATTCATTGTTTATTTATTAAAAACTCTTATTTGCATTGTAGCAATTAATTTCTGGTCTTGCAATGGGTGCGACTGGTGCAGTTGGAAGGTTGGTTTTACAGTGGTTTCTATTGTGGCAGAATTATATTCTTAACTGATTATTTTGTATCTTTTTTTATAGCACATATAACTATATTGGAGGTCATATGATCAAGTTGGTGACAGCTTTTGAAAATGGCAACCAGTTGCAAGCTCGGGCTATACAAGTAAATACAATTTCTCTTCTGCATTAAAAAAAAATCACGCATCAATTTGCTTTAACTTCACAGTTTTCTGAAACTGTAGGTTTTTCAGTAAAAAATCCAATATGATGGCAAAATGTCCAGCTGTATTGACATTTGGAAAGGCACTGAACTAGTAACACAGTGTTCACTCTTATCTCTTATTTTAGTTCAAACTGCAAGAACTTCTTGGTTTTGCCATGGACATTGGTAAGCAACATGCGTCCTCAAAATGGTTTGTTTTTCTTTGTTTGCTTCAAAAATGGGATTCTTGCAGGATTTGATCTTGGAGTGAACAAGCAGCTGATGTCGGATGTGTCTGGCTTGAATCTTGGTCCACCTCGCCTTCCTCTGAGGCAGCGTCCCCAGGATCATACCCAGTCCATCTTGCAGAAATATCAGAGCCTCTTTCAGGATTGCAGGTCCACGTAATGTGCAACAAGCGATACAAACATTGTTAGTATCTATTTGTCACTCAACTGTAAACTGCAATTTTCTTGATTAGGTCTTTTATCTTCTCTCACACAATGATGAAGGGGTCATTGCTCATGTGATGTTTAGGTCCTTATATTTCATGAAATATTTTAATATCAGACTGTAACACTAATCTATTTTTTTGTTTTTTCCAATCAATTAAATGTTTTTTTAAAGAAATCTTCAAAAAGGGAAATACAATTTGCTACGTTTATGTTATGTAATAAAAACCATGTGAGACAAACATGTTAAATGGTTTGTTTGTTCTGTTTACTTAATGAATTGGCAGCATTTCTCTAGAAAATATTGGTCTAAAATGTACTTTAAAAAATAATACTCTCAAAGTTTATACCAAATGTTCCAAATTCCTTAGAAATTGATCCAAAAATTAATAAACCTACAAATAAACATATGCGCACATAAACACAGCTAAATACTGCACTGCTCAGTTGGTAGAGCATTGGCCTTTGAGCCTGAAGGTTGTGGGTTCAAGCCCACCACGAGACCTTCTCCGACTCCCACTGATGACTGCTGTCGTTGTGTCCTTGGGCAAGACACTCAACCCCACTTTGCCTGAAGCCCCTGCTGAAAGACCAAGGCTATGCTCTCACAGACAGAGCAGCCATCCTCCTGTGGACTCACCGCCTGCAGGAGGATCAGTGAGGTCCCTCAGATGTAGTCTGTGAACCTCAAGTTTGGTGGAATGCCACAAGTGTTCGATTTTACGGCAGGATCTCCGCAGATTCACAACAGTGTCATTAATCCAGGGACAAGTCTGTTGATGCTCCAGATGATTAGTTTAGCCACTTGATCCAAGATGATTGCACAGTGACTGTCAAAAGAGCACATGAGCTCATCCATTTTGACTGATACTGTATACTGTATGTATGGGCCTCAAGCGATCCCCTCTAAATGAATGAGAGGGGGAAAGGGTGGTAGACAGAAGTGATTTATGGCCTGTTATATCGAAAGAAATATTGCATCATATGCATCATGACCCTTTTTAATTGTAAAACTGGTAAAAGAAAGTAAGCTATTTAGGGAAAAAGTCCACTGGTCTCGCTGCGTTTCATTTGGATCCAAATCTACGATCACTCTCAATTTCTCCAAGGATCTTGCCTCACAGATTACTCCAGTGTATATATACTTCACGCGGTCAGTGTCGGCCCGAATTTGTGGCTTTAGATGACACAATTATCCGTGACGAATGATCCGTGCAATATAAGGCTATATCCACACGAAGACAAAACGCTTATAATTTCAGAAACTTTTTCTGTAAACACGGAGTTAGCTCAGTAAATGTGTGCGTCCATATGAATGTAGTCAATACGCCTGAAAACGCTGTGAAACTATGCCAGACCTGTTGGTGGCGCTGTGACGCAATGACGGGATCAAGCCCAAACTTCCGTGACGGGAACTGGGCATGCGCGGAATTTTGTAAACAGACAACATGGCGAGTGGGCGAGCTGGTACTACATTAGTATGGGCGGACGATGAGGTTGAACTGTTGCTTCGGGTCGCACTGGATTACAAAACCAACAAGCTACATTGTTGTTGTCATTATTTTCTGAGTGCGGCGCATGCGTGCTTTAACAAGAGGCGGGGCGATGACGCAAGCGTCTCAGATACATTGCGGAGAGGCAGTAACCACGGAGCGGCATATACGGAGTTTTGAAATCTTTCCACTCTGGGACCTAGTTTCAAAAATGTTCGTTTACACCCCCCCAAGACGCCGGCCTCGTATGGACGATACACTGGATTGATAAAGTATTTTTGCGTTTAGGCCTGAGCTTGACTTCGTGTGGACAGGGCCTAAGCCAGACATACAACATGGCATTCGCGCAAAGCATCATGGGTAATAAGCATGTGATGGAAAACCATCTTGGCATCATTTGATTGGTTAACGTGGACGGCATCGTGGATTTCTGGCTAAGAGAAGGGAAGGCGGGACTTACCCGTAATATTAGAATTCATAAAATGACTTATTTTACATCAACATTTAAGGCCAGGAGGTTAATTTAATACAATTCTTAAAATGTGTAATTCATTTAGAGTTCCAGACTTTAAGTCAGTTTGCGTCTTTTGAAACAGATCTGTGAAGCATTTAACCCTTAATATAATACATCCATGATTTAACCCCAAATCAACCAGACACTTAAGCAAGTGTAAACGTGCCCTGAGTTGACAAAGCATTAAGCAACACATGAACCTACAGATACTCAGATTTTCATTGAATTTAGTCACCAGGAAGTGACTCCACAACTCTGCAAGTAACAACATGCTATCCATGAGACATTCCCATAACATCTAAAGAAGCGCAATGCTGCCAGAAAATGGCAAAGGTTTCTTGACTACAGTGGAGATATACTTTTAGTGCAGGTGTGTGGAAGTTGGTAAAAGGAGATGACGGTTCAGCATGGTCTATTTATTAGTTCAGTCAAGACAATCATTAGAACCGCTATCCACGCGGCACGGTGGCTGAGTGGATAGCACTCTCGCCTCTCAGCAAGGGTGCTCCGGTTTCCCCTACCACTAAAAATATGTACAATAGGTATGGCATGTGCCTCCTGTACTGGCACCCCCACCCAACAATTGTAAACCGCTTTGAGACTCAGATGTGCAGTTAAAAGGCGGTATATAAATAAAAGCTTACTTACTTACTACTTACATATTGAACAACTCTCTCCGGTCAACTTCCTCATGTCACCCCTTCAGACTAAAAGGACATTTTTTGTGTGCAAATCAATAATAATTGATAATTCATATTTAAAATGTTATAATACATGCCATTGTAGCCGAATACCATCAATAAGTTTAAGGGATATGGTAGGATTTTCCCAAATGTTCCACTTTTTGAACAAAATTCTTTGGTCTTATTTGACGAGCACGTATCACCAGAGTGATTGACAGTTGGCAGGACCAATAGTCTTGATGATCCACCCGAAAGTAGAGAAATTAATAGTTACCTAATATAACTTAAGTTCTACGAATAGGTGCGTAGTCCCTTAGCGGACTTCGCTAGTGGGATATCACGTGACCCCCAGGTCACACGCCAGAGAGATCAAAATAATTTGCTCCAATCACTAGCGACCCTCCTCTATAAAGGCCCCTGCACAAGGCCGCACCCCCTCTTGAACTCTGCCAAGCCGGGCTGGCCTGATGGGCTCGTAGCTGAGGGACTACGCACCTATTCGTAGAACTTAAGTTACATTAGCTAACTATTAATTCTACGTCCTGGTGCTACGTCCCTTAGCGGACTTCGCTAGTGGGACACAACGCGAAGGCCGTAGGAACATGTACTCCCAGCAGGCCAGCAAAGAGTGATTGGAGCCCCGTCGGAGCAACCCTCACACAGTGAGAAGACTCAGGACAGAAACCAAATCCAAGCGTGTTACGGGGCCGCTCCTCCCAAGGACACCCCCAAGTAACACCGACCAAAAGTCACCCGTAGTCCCAGGACACCTCTCCCAAGAGCTCCTGACGTGGACCACCCAACTGACCAACACCCCTAACACCGCACCTACAGGACGCCTCTCCCAAGAGCTCCTGAACTAGGGCGGAAGGGCAAACCGTAATCTCATAGACGAAGAACCCATGATTCCAGTCAGTCCGCTGCACCAAGCACGGAATGAGCCACCGACCGGTCCGACACATCCAACAGGTAAGACCGGACAAAAGAAGAGGACGAAGTCCAAGAAGCCGCATGGCAAACGTCCTCCACCGAAGCCCCCCTGAGGAGGGCCGTAGAAGCCGCCACTCCACGCGTGGAGTGTGCCCTGAAACCCACCGGGGGCTTCAGGCCCTGAGCTTGATACGCCATCCGTACAGCCGAAGCGACCCAGTGTGCCAGACGTTGAGACGACAGCGGGGCGCCTCTGTTCTTGGGGCCCAGACACACAAACAGCTGATCCACCAGTCTGAAGGAAGATGTCAAGGTCAGGTAACGCCTAAGCATTCTGACAGGGCACAGCAGGTGCCGTCGCTCCTCCTCGGGGGAGGAGTGCGGCGGCGGATGGAAAGCCCTAATCCTGATCACTCTCGAAGGCCGAAGTAATGACCTTAGGGAGAAAAGCCGGATTGGGCCACAACTCCACCAGCCCGTCCCCCTCTCCAAAGGACAGACAAGACGCATGTATGGAGAGCGCACACAAATCGCCCGCCCTCTTAGCAGACGCCAACGCCAGCAAGAGGGCAGTCTTAAAAGCAACACACTCGGGACTCGCCTCCGACACTGGTTCAAAGGGCGGGCCCGACAGACCCCTAAGGACCACTCTGAGGTCCCACACTGGGGGCGTTCTCTGAAGCGGGGGCCTCTTCCTGCGGGCCCCCCGCAAAAAACGTTTCACCAAAGGATGAGAACGGGCCGTGAACCCATCGAAGCCACCGTGACCCAAGGTGATGGCTGCCGCGAACACCGCCAGGGTACCGACAGCCCTCCCTTTTTCAAAGAGTTCCTGTAGAAAGCCCAGGACTCCTTCCAAGGGGCAGTGCCTGGGATCCCAAGAACGAGCACTGCACCAGACGCTGAAGAGCCTCCATCTGGTGTCGTAGGCTCTCACCGTGGACGGCGCCCCTCGCCCCCTGAATGGTCTCCACCACCGCCGGAGGAAGACCCAGGTCTACGAGGTTCCGCCTCTCAACCTCCAAGCCCAGAGCCATGGCGTCCACCCCTAGGGGCGGCTCGTTCGCGGCCCTTAAGGCGTACCAGGACGGGCACTGTGCGTTCTCTGCACTGGCGAAAAGGTCGACCCCTGGACGACCGAACCTCCGCCAGATCTCTGCAGATATCCGCGGGGCCAGGCCCCACTCGTCCTGGAGTGGGCCCCCCCTGGACATCCTGTCGGCCCAGGAGGTGAAGTTCTGCCCATAGCAGAATCACCTTCGCCATGCGATGGAGAGCGGGGGATCTGGTGCCTCCCTGTCTGTTCAGATAAGACACCACCGTGGTGTTGTCTGAGCAAACCATCACATTTCTCCCCTGCAGCTGTGGGGCAAAGTGCAGCAGCACCCTGTGCACTGCCTCCATTTCCAGCAGGTTTATGTGGCGGGCTGAGTCCGACCAGGCAGCCTCCTACGGAGC